ACCCAGCTGCCCCCCAACTGCCATCCTGACCTCCTACCCTAGCTGAGCTGTTGTCTCCCCCATTACCTCCTCACTCACCTCAAACTTCTTGGCGTGGTGCAGACCACCAGCCCAGTTAATGGCAATATCACAGATCTGAAAGACAAATGCCCAACTCATAATCCTTCTCCTGCCCACCCCCAAAGCTGGGAGCTCAGGATCACAGTTAAGGCCTTGGATTCAGGGACCCACAGGAAGGGGGAAACAGGACTCGGGGTACAGTTACCTTGTTGTTCAGCTGGGTTGCTCCTTGCAGAGATGCGCCTGTGTAACGGGAGCAGAACTCAAACAGCCCGGGAAACACGGGGCTGCAGGAAGAAGAGCAAGTCGGAGCCCTTTTTCCTGTGTCCACTTCCTTCCTTCACCCTTCTCCCCAGCTCAGAGCCCTATAGTCTCCTTTCTTCAATAACCCCTTCTGCCCCTCCTACATACCCAAGTTACCTGCAAATTTATTCAACAAATATTTTGGACCAAACCATATACTGAGACTTGTTCGAGGCACTGGATGGGAAGTAGAGAAGCACAGTGATTGTACTGCTAGTTGCACAAAGAGCAATCACGGGGCCCCAGGCTGTGGGTGAGGGTGGACTTTACATTCCCAGGCCTATAAAGTAAACTCAAAACCAGCAGGAGCAATAACACAAAAAACAAGAAAGCTCCCAAGACAGCACGTGCCTGAACAACCCAATGAGCAGGGCAGTGTGTGCGGGACAGACCTCTGGGGCTGGTGTGGTCAAGAAAGCCTTTATGGCATGAAGCTTTGTGGTGGCTTGAAGGCTGTGAAGGCCCTGGAGGCTGAATGGGGAACAAAGGGTATTCTGAGAAGACACCCTGTGAAGCAGAGGTGTGGGGATAAGGTTGGCAAGGTGCTCATTGCTGGCCTAAGGAGTCGGCCTCAATCCTCCAGCCCAGTCTGCTTCTATTGGTAGGCTCTTTTGGGGAAACTGATTGGTGTAGTGTTTAAAAACCTAGCCTCTGGACCTGAATCCTGCCACTGCCACTGTCCAGGCTAAGTTATCAAAATCTCCTCAAATTTCAATGTATGTACTTAATGCTTACCATCATGAAAAGGACTATTATATCTCAGGGTTGGTGTAAGAATTAAGTGGACACACTAGTAATCCTCAGCACAGCAGCATAAATTACTCAAGAAACTGTAGCTGTTATAGGAAACTATAGGATCAACAGCCTCATTTCGTCAAAAAATAAATTCAAGGAATTCCCTGGCAATCTAGTGGTTAGGACTCCATGTTTTCACTGCAGAGGGCCTGGGTTCAATCACTGGTCAGGGAACTAAGATCCTGCAAGCCAAGGCATGGCAAAAATAAATAAATTCAAAGGCAAGAAGGAAACATTAAGGGTTAAAAGTCTTAAGAGATGGAGCCACCAAATACAATATGTGGACCTTGTTTAAATCCTAATTTAAATAAGTCAACTGCAAAAAAGAAAAAATGTGAGACAACTGGAGAAACTTAAGTACTGACTGCACATTTGATAATATGAATTACTATTGATTTTTCAGGTGTGATGATACTATGCACTTTTTTAAAGAGTATCATTTGGAGATATATGGTAACATATTTATAGACAAAAGGGAGTTACATCTCAAATTAGTTTTAAAATAATCTAATGTGCGGGGACAGAGATGAAGCAAGATTAGCCATCTGCTCTAAGTGTTGCAGCTCTGTGATGGATAGATGAGGGTTCACTGTACTATTCTACTTGCAGAAATGTTTAAAATTTTCCCTAATAAATAAAAAGTCTAAAAATGAATGGAGCAGCTGGCAGCTGTTGTGGTCACTATCTTTCAGTGGATGCAGACTAGAGTGGAAGCAAGGATTATGGCTTATCTTTGTTAGCCACCTTTTCCCCACAAGACTCTGAGCTGACTTCTCATATGAAATAAGCTCAACATAAATGTGGTCGTACCTAAACACTCTCTTGCTTTTTAAAACCCTCCAATGACTTCTCCTAGAAGTTAAAAACCCCAATTCATAATAGGGCTGTTTATTTTTTAAAGGCCCTACCTATCTCTTTAGACACAATTCAGATCACTCTTCAGATATCATGCATGGCCTTTTTTCTGTTCCTTAAATAAGTCACACTCTGTCCTGCTGCAGACCCTTAGGGCATGTTGTCCCTACTTCCCATTCCTCCCCTCATCCTCCATCCTCCCAACTATCTTTCACCTAATTACTTCCTACTTTCTTTAGAACTCAACCCAATTTTCATTACTTCCTCTAGGAAGCCACCACTGACCAGCGCCAGCCCAGGCTACATAATTCTCCCGTGTCTACCCTCTCACAGTCTGTCATGTACCTCTCCTCTAAAGGACTTAGCACAAGGGCTATATTAAAATTGTGTTGGTATTGTTTATCATTGCATCCCTAGCACTTAGCCTAGGGCCTGGCCCACAGCCAATAACCAATCAATATTTGTTGAATAAGCAAATGAGTAAATGATGATTCATTGACAAGTATTCCCCACCCCACCCACCTACATATCTTCCATTGCTGCCATAAGACGTCACTCGAGTATTCTCACTGAAATGCCTGGCATCAAGGTTCCTGGCATCAAAGGTCCCAGTTCTCCCCTTACCAGTCATCGCCCACGTTGAAGGCATTAAGGCTCTTGGTAAAGCCTTGCATATTTGTGGGGCTGACTCTCTGCAGGAAGTCGATGTAGTCCTCAGAGTGGAAGCGGCACATGTCATGCTGGGAGGCCTGGTATGGCTTGAAGACCTTGAGAGGGAAACACAAGATAAAGTCAGGCAGGGTCAGTCCTACTCATCCGGCTGAGACTGACCACACTGAGCCCAGCCCTGGGGACTGTTCAGAACCACACACAGCAGTCCCCTCGCCCCCTCCCCTCCAATCCTTGTTATTCTATGAGACAAACGTCTGTGAAGAAGAGAGACTCTGATTAGCTTGAGAGTTTCTTATGATCAAGCCCTCTAAAGACCACTGGGCCTGCCTTTTCCTTCCTACCTCCAGCCCAGCCTTTTCTACCTTCTCAAACCTTAACTCCCTTCACCTGCCCTGTTCCCTGGATCTCCTATTCCTTATTCTCATCATACTCATCTCCCCTGGGTGCTGACTCTGTCCTCTCTCTCCTCTGAGTTCTTCTTAATTTTGGAATCAAATAATATGGGACACACAACAACCTTCTAATTAAGACCCAAGATGCCCAGGTGCTAAGCCAAAGATTTATTATCTCTTGAGAGGATCACACGCTTTAGAAATTGGACAAGAGCAAAAAATTTTTCCTCCCCAGAAAATGCTCATAGGCACACATAGGCAAACAATTTCAAGAGCCAGAGATTCAGGCATTAACATCAATCACCTCAGTCGTTTCTATGATCAATTCACTAGTATGTGGCTCAGCACAAGCAGTGGACAGTTATTCATGCTGCTGGCTAATTCCCCTTGCAATGCACAAGGGCCGTGTGTTATGATCACATATCACACTGCTATAAATTCCAAGCCAGGGACGGACAGGATATGTATACAGGGGGAGATGGAGGAATGAGTAGTAATTAAATGGAACTCTGTGTGTGGGCAGGGGTATTCTAGATTGAAAAGGGAATATCCAGAACACCTCCTACTGTCCTCCACACACATAACACATTTACACACAGGGCTACAAAGTCCTCCCTAGAACTCTAGCTTGGCGGTGGAGAGAGGTGGCAGAGGAGAAGGGGTGGGAATGAGGGTAAACCTCATGTCCAGATACACTGAGCCAGCAGCTTTCCCTTCTCTGAGGCCACAGAACTGTCCTAAGATGCAAGGGAGGGAAATACTCTGTGTCTGCAAACCAGCTCCACTCCACACTAACCGTAGGCCAAAGGTTGGTCCACTTGAGGTCAAAAGGTGGCCGACCTAAAAACTAACTCTTATTAAGTCAGTGGATGTACCCACCAACATTCTACATATGGGGTGCTCCTGGTTCTGTCTATCCACCTCCCCCCTGCCTGGGGTGGGTCACTCTCGATGCATTCAGTGCAGCCTACCTATCCCTAAGGCCGCAGCTCGTCCCCACCCTCAATCCCCAGCAGAAGCCGTGAGACTCACGATCATCTTCTTATAGAGGCCGTAGTGCAGGACCAGACTATGAGTCAATGCCAAGCGATGGGGCTTCATAGGGTGACCAGCCCCTGGGGGTGGGAGAAGAGAGTTCGTCAGTACCCATCCCTGGAGTTGTAGGCCCGGCTTCGAAACCTCCGCGTCCCGAAATCCCTCGCGTGCAATGTTGCTCCCTCACCGTAGTGGAAGTTGCCCACGTCGGGGTCGTAGAAATAGGCCACAGTCTTGGCCATGGTGCCGGCGGGACCAGGCCCCGCGCCTCCGCCGCCAGCCTGTCCACCTGCCCCACCCCCGGCCTTGCGTGCTGCGTAAGCACGCTGCCTGCCTCTGCGGAACCAGGAAACCCAAGCCCGACTCCCCTAGACCACGCCCAGGTCACGCCTCCTGCGGAGTTCAGCCCTCGGCTTGCTCCGCCCTTCTAGGTTCTGGGGCGTGAGCGTCTGGGCTCGGCCGGAGGACAGTAGCATCGGTCCTAGGATGACAGGGCCATTTCCTTCCCGGCGGGGGTCAAATCCTCGGGAAGCCGATCCATCCTGTCCAGCTACCTGTCCCAAGCGAGGCGCAGGCCGTGTCGCCTCTTTAGGAGGCTCCGGAGAACCGGCCACGCTGACCCTCTCAGGTGCAGAAAGCCAGCTTCCCCCGGCCCGCTGGGGAAGATTCCCAGCTACACATCCAGCCGGGGCATCTGAGGGCTGGAGCCAAGCCAGGCGTGCCCAATAGACCAGTGGAGAGCGCTCTCGCCTGACTGCCCGTCCCCCTCACCCGGACCCAGACTCGGCACCGCACAGTCACCGGGCGGCAGTGGGGGGGCTGCGCAGTCACGCGCGCACCACACTTGCGCTCAGAAGCGCGCAGGGCTCTCTCTCTCCGCCCCGCACACCTGGGCTCCGCCCCCTGGTTCCCGGCCGGCGGTCGAAGCCTTTGGGGGACCCAGAGCGGCTGCGGCAGCGCCCCCCTTCTCCTTCTCTTTCCACGGCTGGAGTTGTCCGGAGCCTGTCGCCGGTCCCAACCAGCCCTCATCCCTTTCCATCCTTCCCTCCCCCCACCCCTGCCGCGGCACGGGTATCTGCAGCCGCAGCCCGGAGCCCTTGAGGCGGCGAAGGGGGGAGGGGAAGGAAGCGAGGGATGAGCGCCGGGAGGGCGTCGGGGGCCCTGAGCCGGACTAGGACGCCCCTGGAACCGGAGCCGGAGCCGGAGCCGGAGCCAGAACCAAACCACCGGTACCGGGTGGGCCAGGTGGTCAGGTCGGGAGAACCCGAAAGGCGGGAGGGGGTGTGCGTGAGACAGTACAGGAAGGGGAAGGGGCTGCGGAGGCCTGACTCAGGCCCGCTCAGAAGAGATGTGGACGCTGACTCAGGCACTATCCTTGTGCCGGCCGCCTGAGAATTCCGTCCCGTCTCGCTCTGCAGTGTCCTTGGGAGGGACGAAAGCTCAGGACAAGCTGGAAAGGGGGAGCTCTGGGCGTCGGGGAAGCGGGACCAGGGTCGTGGAAGAGGGCTTGAGCAGCCGCCGTCTAACACCCCTGGCCCGGACCAGCACCCCTGGCACGGACAGCTCCTTGGTTGGGTAGGGGGTGGGGCCAGACCTCAAAGGCTTGTCTGTCTCTCGAATCCTGAGGACGGCATTCCTAACCCTCCCCCCATCCTTAGCTGCAGCCCCCTAACTCCAGGAGCCGCCCTGGCCCGTGCTCACCCGCCAGGGCCTCATGTCGGAACCACAGCCTGACCTGGAACCGCCCCAGCATGGGCTGTACATGCTCTTCCTGCTCGTGCTGGTCTTCTTCCTTATGGGCCTTGTAGGCTTCATGATCTGCCACGTGCTCAAGAAGAAGGGCTACCGCTGCCGCACTTCGAGGGGCTCGGAGCCTGACGACGCCCAGCTCCAGCCCCGTGAGTGAACAGCCTAGAACCTGACTCAATCACCTTCCTCCCTCACCCTTCTCCCCACACCTCTTCCTGGCCAACATACCCAAGCTAAATCCTGACCAAGATAGGAGGCCTAGTAACACTTTCTTGAGTCAGTAAGTGGGGTGCCACCACCCTGAGTAGGGCTAGAGAAGGCACCATGGGTGGGAAGGGCCCACTGGTGGTAGTCTTGGACTCCCGCTAATTTTCCCTTCTTTTCTGCCCTGGCCCTTGAAATGCTAAGGTACAGCATGATGCAGTTTGGTAAAGAGGTAGGTCTTGAGCAATAAGTCATAGAAGCCACCAGGTAATGTACCCTCAAAGTTGACTCATTTCCCTCTGCCTCACCAACTTCTTTCATCCTTCAGCTGAGGACGATGACATGAATGAGGACACAGTAGAGAGGATTGTTCGCTGCATCATCCAAAATGAAGGTGGGTGTAGGCTGTCCCTTTGTCCCCCACCTCCTCGACTTTCTCTTGTCCTGGCCTTTGCCTCCACTGACCCCTTCTTTTCCTTCTCCCCTCAGCCAACGCTGAGGCCCTGAAGGAGATGCTGGGGGACAGTGAAGGAGAAGGGACAGTGCAGCTGTCCAGGTGAGCTGGAAACACGGGCCAGTATGACTTAGCTTGCCTTGGAAAGTATCCTCTCCTCCAGCACATTCTTCTCCCAGTCTCCTTGCATGATTAGGGTGACAGGGGAGAGTAAGGCTGAATAATGGACAGGAAGAAGAAAGTTTGGTAGAAATCCTGAATCCTCCAAACCACATCTCTTCTTTAGATGTCATCAAGCCTAACCTTCATCACTTATGCCACTCCCCTGGGTTATACATTGCACACTTTCTAGCCCTGGGAGGGAAAACAACACATGGTCAGTAATATCTTCATGTTCAGTTTATTAGATAAAGACAATAAAAGAATGGTGCAGCCTGGGGGAAGTGGGACATCTCGGGGGGGTTAAGGAGCACACTGAAAGAACGGGAACAAACAGGAAGAAAAATGGGATTGTTCCCCCCTTCTCCCTTCCTCCCTACCATCCAGCGTGGATGCCACCTCCAGCCTGCAAGACGGAGCCCCCTCCCATCATCACACAGTGCACCTGGGCTCCTCAGCCCCGTGCATCCACTGCAGCCGCAACAAGAGACCCCCACTTGTCCGTCAGGGACGCTCCAAGGAAGGAAAGAGTCGCCCCCGGCCTGGGGAGACCACCGTGTTCTCTGTGGGCAGGTGGGTATAGAGTACCCCAGTGACAGGGAGGTTGAGGTGGGGGTCCAGTGCTCAGGCATTTGACTCCAAAGGTGGGCCCTGGCTCTTGCTTCCTGGACTGGGAGCTACAGCAGGAGTCAGGCTGCACAATATGCCCCACAGAGGCTGTCTCCCATGTCCCAGAAGGACATGGCTATCAAACCCAGGATGTCCCTGACCAGAAGGAAGGGCCAAGCAGTCTCTGAGTGGTGGCCCTAAGCCCGTGTCCCCTCCCCTCCCAGGTTCCGGGTGACGCACATTGAGAAGCGCTATGGGCTGCATGAGCATCGTGACGGCTCTCCCACGGACAGGAGCTGGGGGTCTGGGGGGGGGCAGGACCCAGGGGGTGGCCAGGGGCCTGGGGGAGGGCAGCCCAGGACAGGGATGCCTGCCATCGAAAGCCTTCCCCCTGAGAGGCCGCAGCCCCCAACCCTCGCCAGCACCCCCATGCAGAATGGAGGACTCAGGGACAGCAGCCAAGTCCCTCGTGCACTTGAGGGGAACCCTGGAGCCTCTGCAGAGCCGATGCCTGGGGCTGGAGGGAGGGGCCCAAGCCCAGGGCCGGCCAGAAAAGAAGCAAATGGACAGTCAAGCAAACAGGACACCTCAGATCACCAGGTATGAAGACACGGCCAGCGCTGCAATGGGCTGAGCTCTTATTGTCCCCGCTCTGCAAGGGCCTGGTATGACCCACGTCCTGTTCTCTCATTGTCCTCCCCTCCTCTCTCTCAGGTGTCCCCACCATGGGGAGCAGGGGGGATGTGAGGTGATTCTGCCTGGGCCCCAAGTCAATCTCATCCTCCCAACCCCTAAATGAAACTACCTCAGCCCATTGGTTCCCTGAATTCCCGGGGTCAACCACAGGCTCAGCCTTTGGTACATATTCCTTGGTTTGGTGGTGGGGAGTTGCCATGTGCTCCAGGGAGTAGGGAAGGTCCCGCAGCCTCTGGGGAAAAGCAGAGGCTCCGCTTGAATAGGAGGCAACAGTCACCCTTCCTTTCCTCCAAGCCGCCTCCTTCACTGTGCTGACGGACTACCAGCTGGCAGGCCAGGGAGTGGGTGGGCATGAAGCCCCTCCTCTCCACTGGACAGCACTGCCCCCCAGCTGAGGGGCCCACTCTACTTCCACCTGGAGTTGCACAGTCTCAGGCTGGGGGGACCTGGGGAGAAGTCCCATCCCTGGCCCTCAGCCTCTTCCCCTTCCCCTGCCTGCCCGCAGGCCGCCTGACCCACCTTCCCCATCACCTCACTCCATGTGCTACAGCGTGGCGGCTGGGAGCAGGCCCCAGCCCTTGGTGGACCCTTAAAGCAATAGCACCTTAGGCCCTCTGTCCTCTTGGCACAAGAGGCCCAGGCCCTGGCTCGGGCTTTGTGCCCTTTATTCACTGTCAATAAATCCGCTCAGACCATTACAGCTGCTTCGAATACTGGCTCCAGCTCCTTCTGACAGGCCTATCCCCATCCCAGGCCCCAGCCCCAGTGGCACTGGCATCTGGAGTGGGGTGGTTCACAGAATCAGGGTGGAGACACAAATAAGCCAGAGTCACTCAAGACTTTGGGGGACAAATTCCAGTCCCAGAGATTTCAGGGTAGTTCACCACCCTAGAGATGGGGTGGTGGCAGAAGAGAAAGGGGGTACTTTCAGCCCCAGAGATGGCTGAAGGATCATGGGGGAAAAGGAGTGGGTTCCAGCCCCAGAAATGGGTGAAGTAGTGTCTATCCCTGAAGGTGAGAACGGAAATCAGGGAGATTCCAGCATTTGACTGTGTCGCTTTGGATCACCATGGGGAGGGGCAGTCTGACAGCACGGAGATGGGGCAGCAGCATCACTAGGGGATGGACAGTCCCCCTGGCTTCAGGTGAGGGGATCTAGATGGCCAGGATCTGGGGCTTTAGCCGGCGGGGGAGGCGGTGGACGCATCTGTAGGAAACACACAGTCAGTGCTCCTGAGGCTTCCCTTGGGGATATCCCGTCCATTCCCTCTGCTCTGCAGATAAAACAGGACAAATTGAACTGACCCCTCTTCCAACACTCTCCTCCAAGGGAGGGGCCCTTACCGGCCTGAGTCGAGGTGCCATCATATCCAGAGACCCAGGGCAGTCCAGGTCTTGGTCTGGAAATAAGAACCGCGAGTCAGCCTTCTGACTTTATTTTGTTCACTTCTGTATCTCCAGCACTTAGGACCATGAAAGTCACTCAGTTGTGTCCAACTCTTTGCGACTCCATGGACTATACAGTCCATGGAATTCTCCAGGCCAGAATACTGGAGTGCCATTCCCTTTTCCAGGGGATCTTCCCAACCCAGGGATCGAACCCAGGTCTCCCACACTGCAGGCGGATCCTTTACCAGTTGAGCCACCAGGGAAGCCCAAGAATACTGGAGTGGGTAGCCTATTCCTTCTCCAGGAGATCTTCCCGACCCAGGAATTGAAGCAGGGTTCCTGCATTGCAGGTGGATTCTTTACCAACTGAGCTACTAGGTCCATGGCACTCTGTAAATATTTTCTGATTTAACAGTCACTAACCTGGGTCATAACATCCATCAGTCCATCTAACCTCAACACTTACTGGGCACCTGTTGTATACTCAGCCCTGCTAAAGGTACCAGAGTAGGGGAGGTGGGATCAGAGCTCCCCCACCCCTAATGGCTGTCAGCGACTGAATAATGAAACACCAACAAACACAATGAATGAGTACTAAAGGATTCAAAGTAAACTAAGGGTGCTGGAGAAGTAGGGTGCAGAAAATGCTAACAGGGGCTCCAGGGACAGGGAGAAAGATGCAGAGAAGAAAGTGGAAATATGTTTTAGAAGAGATAGTTTTGGAAAAGATGGATGAGGAAAATGATGATGCAAACCAGATGTTTGCAGGATTCAAGAACACTAAGGATGTGTATTGGGAAAACACTGTGGGAGAAACTGGTTAATTTTAATAATAATAATAATGATAAACAGTTATTAATTGCATGCTTGCTATGTGCCCAGCACAACGCTGGGTACCCTACAGACATCTCTTTACCTCTCAAAACTTAATGAGGGAGGAACCTTCCTCCTCACTCTGTAAAGGCCCAGACAGGTTAAATTGCACGCTAGGAAGTCTGGGCACAGTTTGAACAGTGGGCCTGGCTCCAAAGCCCAAACTCTTCTACCATCAAGCCTCAGAAAGCCTAAGGGAGGAGGTTCATGAGGGCAAGCAAAGGGGCCAAGTGTAACCCAAGAGTCCCAGACTTCCTGTCTCTTACCCTCCCGGGGGCCCAGCTCCTTCTACTCACCACCAGGCAGGACAGGTGCAGGGGATCCATCCACAGCAGAGGTGGGTGCAGGAGGGGAAAAGCTGGGAGGGGAAGGGGATGGCAGTATCTGGGAATGAGAGGGCAAAGGCTTATTCCTGGCATGTGGGAAGATTTCACCAGCTATTCTTCTCATCCCATCTTCAGTTCTGTCCCATCACTTCCCAAGCCAGAGAGCAGCCAAATGCTTGTATATGGGTAGGGTTGTAGGTGATACACATTTCAACAGCCCATATGTATTGACATTTGATATGTCCCAGGCATTTTGCTGGCACTTCACATGCACTAAAAATTTATTCATTCCTCTCCACCAACCCATGAAGGAGGTATTTGATGATTACTATGTCAGAGGTGAGACTCAGATTAAACCATCTATTCCCAAATCACAAAGCTAGTTAGTGACAAAATCTTGCTAGAACAATAGGTACCATATATCAAAGCACCTCCTAGGGGCCATTGTGCTAAGCGTTTTACCTCCATTATCTCAAATCAGGACAGTGTGTCTCTTGAAAAAGATTATTATTATCCCCCTTCTACATGCATGTGAAGAAACAAGCTCAGCGAGGCCTAATCATTGCCTAAGGTAATCAAACAGGAATCTGAACTTAAAGCCAGCTCTAAAACAGGACAACCAAACTCTTATGAAGACTGCCTTGCTTTCCCTTTTCTCTGTGCCAAAGGAGATGGGGAGACCCAAGCCACAATACAGCAGATGGGGCATTAAGATGAATATGGGACCTCCGTGCATGGGAGGGTCAACCAAAAGTGCCTGGCGACCCAGGGAAAAGGAAGGCTCACCTGCTCAGGGTCTGAGAGTTCAGATGGCCCTAGGGGGCCAAGTAGCTCCTCCACCAGCAGGGAGGGGAAGACCCCAACATGGCCCCCAAATTCTCCCCTCCAGAAGCCGTCATCCACTCCATCCTGGGCCCGGGGCAGCAGGCGGATGAGCGCCCCCTCAGGGAAGCTCAGCTCCTCGGCACTCTGTCCAGTGTAGCTGTACAGGGCACGGGCCAGGAACGCTGTAGAAGCCCAGGAGAGATGGTGAGGGGAGGACGTAAGCAGCGTGCCCTGGACCACGACACCCCAGGGCCACAATGGCTCAGCAATTCTTGTCCCTTTCTTACCTGTGGGCTCCGCCCCCAAAGGGTTGTCGCTGTCACGGCTGCTCTCAGGGAAGGAGAGGTCCGCGAAGTTGAGATAGCGCTCAGGGACAAAGCCTACCTCACCGTGCTGGTTCCGAGCCTGCTCTCCCAGCAATGTGAACAGAAAGTGGGCTTGCCTCAGCTGTCCACGGCCCTGGCCCTCCTCCACTCAGGCTTCCAGCTTTTCTGGCTGGGTCTTTATGGGCCACAGAGAAGTCCCTCCCACTGCTCCCTTGCCAAGGTCTGAGCCCCAGGTCCCTACCCACCTTGACCCATTCGTCGGCATCTCCCTCCTCTATGACCTCCAGCCACTCGCCCTCTGTGATGGTCAGCTCGTCCTCACGTCCTGCCTGGGCCCCACAAAGAAGAATTCAGGACTGGCTGTCCCCTAGCCCTGATGGTCTGAGGTCCTTACCCCCATTCACACCTGATAGCCAAACACCACATGGGCAGGGCAGGGGAGGGGCCTGGTGGCCAGGGCTGGGGGGGCGGGCTCCTCAAAGAGCTCCCCAGTCTCCTCACATTCCTCAAAGTCAGACAGCTCAGCATCCTCAGCCTGTAGGGACAGAGAACAGACATCACTGTGAGGCCCGGTCTCAAGTACCCTCTGTGTCTCCCATTCCATCCTCCTGTTAACCTTGTGGATCCTCCTCCAAGGCAGTACCAACCAACCATTCACTCTGGATCACAGGGAGTCATCAGAGAGCAGGAAAACACTAATGATAATCACAGGGTTACAGTAGTGAGTGCTTACTGTGTGCCAGGCACAGTGCTATGTATCTTATGTATGTTGTCTTGTTTAAGCTTCTTAATGGCACGCATGCTCAGTTGTGTCCAACTCTTTGCAACCCCTGCCGGGCTTCTCTGCCCGTGGAATTTTCTCAGGCAAGAATACTGGAGTGGGTTGCCATTTCCTACTCCAGGGAATCTTCCCAACCCAGGGATCAACCCACATCTGCACCTCCTGCATGGGCAGGTGGGTTCTTTACCACTGGCGCCACTGGTGAAGCCAAGTTTCTTAATAACCCTGTGTTATTTTGTGAAACTACCAACCTCATTTTACTTATGAGGAAATTGAGGCCCAGAAAGCTTAAATTACTTTCCAAGATCACACTGCTAGTAAATGCAGTGTCTGGTACTCAAACTGCTTACAGCCTGCTCTCAGGACCTTAGTTCATAACCACCATTCTATACTCACAGTAAAAGTTAACTGAGAACTCTGTTACAAACTGTGCCAAGAATTAAACACCTAAGTGATTCCATTCAAGCCTCACAACAACCTGTTGAGTTACGTACCATTGTGATTCCTGCTTCATAAAGTCTGCTTTCCATGAGGGCTCTTTACCCTCCCAAGTGTGTAAGGCTAGGGAGTGGAGGGAGCTCACCGTGGGAGAGAAGTCCCTCTGGGACAGCCGGGCCTCGCTGAGCCGTCGCTCCTGCTCCACCTCATCCTGGGCCTGGGTCATGGCTGGCTTCAGCCAGTGCTGCACATCCAGGCCAGCCCCCTGCAGCAGGGCCAGTCGGGCAGCCCCCTTCACCTGGCTCACCTAACATGGGGAAGAGGGATCAACCCAGGCGATGGCTGGGTCTGCCTTTGGGAAATGAGTGGAGCCTCCCCAGATATGTCCACCCTCTACTACCTCCTGCTTACAGTCTCCCCACCATCAGATGGAGTGGAGGAGGCCGGAGGAGGTGTGATCTCAGTGGCCCTAAACCCCCAGCGTGGTGCCTCACCTGTGCCCTTCGGATGCTCTCCCTTACTTCCTGCAGCCGCTGTTCTATGCCTGGAGCTTCTCGCTCTGGAGCCTGCTGCCGCCTCTGCTCCAGCCGCTGCAGCACCTGGTTGGGGAGGTGGAGGACAGGGGAGGGTGGAGACACCATGGGGCACAACTTAGAACAAACTGGTAGTTAGCTAGTTGCTTCACACGCATTATGTCATTTAATCTTCCCTGGGATGTGGGTGCTATTATTAGCCCCACTTTAATGACAAGGAAACTGAGGTCCAAAGAGCTGAAGTCACTCAGTACTCTCTTACTCAGAGTTACATAACTAGGAAGCAACAGAGCAGGATTTGAGTCCAGGTGAGTCTTGCTCCCAAGACCATGCTCTTAATTACTGTGCCACACTGTTGGCTTGAATTACTCTTCCCTCCCCTCCTGCCTACAGCCCCATGACATCCCTCAGTGACTCAGGGATCCCCATCGCTCAGCATTTCTTGCCCACCCACGACAGCTGCACCCCCATCTCACCCGATGCCCATGATGCTGGATCTTATAGTCTCGGGCAGCTCGGCTCGTCCAGCGTTGAACTTCTTTCTCCAGGCCACTCTCCCCCGCCACACCTCCTGCACCCCCTTCCAGCTCCAGGACACACACCTGAATGAATAGGGAACTGTGAGGACTGCCTGATGCTGCTCCTTTTACACCTTCTCCCTACCGTTCCCTCCTTATCACCTCCCCACAAACAGGTGGGAGCACACACCTACGACTGTGGACACACAAACACAGTCCTGGAAATGGGATCCAGGTTAAGGGGAAGAGGTAGAATGAAAAAGATAGTTAAGTGAAAAGAGAGAAGGGTGAGATAAAGAGTGTTAATCTGTGTCCTGGTGGGAGGGAGGTGAACTGGGGTTCTGAAACCCTCTGTCCATGGTTTAACAGTCTCTAAGTAAATTCCACTGATGAACTAAAAAGCCTCTTGAAAGTAAAAGAGGAAAGTGACAAAGTTGGCTTAAAGCTTAACATTCAGAAAACTAAGATCATGGCATCCAGTCCCACTTCATGGGAAACAGATGGGGAGACAGTGGTAACAGTGTCAGACTTTATTTTGGGGGGCTCCAAAATCACTGCAGACGGTGACTACAGCCATGAAATTAAAAGACGCTTACTCCTTGGAAGGAAAGTTATGACCAACCCAGACAGCATATTAAAAAGCAGAGACATTACTTTGCCAACAAAGGTCCATCTGGTCAAGGCTATGGTTTTTCCAATGGTCATGTATGGATGTAAGAGTTGAACTGTGAAGAAAGCTGAGTGCTGAAAAATTGTTGCTTTTGAACTATGGTGTTGGAGAAGACTCTTGAGAGCCCCTTGGACTGCAAGGAGATCCAACCAGTCCATCCTAAAGGAGATCAGTCCTGGGTGTTCACTGGAAGGACTGATGCTGAAGCTGAAACTCCAGTACTTTGGCCACCTCATGCAAAGAGTTGACTCATTGGAGAAGACTCTGATGCTGGGAGGGATTGGGAGCAGGAGGAGAAGGGGACGACAGAGGATGAGATGGCTGGATGGCATCACCGACTAAATGGACATGGGTTTGAGTAAACTCCAGGATTTAATGATGGACAGGGAGGCCTGGCATGCTGAGATTCATGGGGTCGCAAAGAGTCGGACATGACTGAGTGACTGAAGTGAACTGAACTGAAGTAAATTCCACGGGCTTCCCTGGGGGTTCAGTGGTAAAGAATCTGCCTATCTATGCAGGAGGAGATGTGGGTTTGATCCCTGAGTTAGGATGACCCCCTGGAGAAAGAAATGGCAACCCACTCCAGTATTCTTGCCTGGGAAATCCCATGGACAGAGGAGCCTGTTGGGCTACCATGGGATCACAAAAGAGTCGGACATGACTGAGCAACTAAAGAACAACAAAGTTAATACTAGGATGTGAATAATCAGGGAGAGGCCTAAACCACAGTCCCCTTTACAACTGGCCTGGATCCACCTAGCACAGAGGTCTCACCTGATCATTCCCTGCTGGCTGAAACTGCTGAGGTGGGGTGGGGGAAAACACTCCAGGTTCCTGAAGAAAAAGCTCCAGATCCTGCTCCCAGCTTACCTTGGGGGTTGGAAAAAATCAAAGCCAGCCACTCACTGGCTCCCTCTCCAAGCCTGTCCCCAGCCCTTCTTGGAAGAGAAAGGACAAGGTGAGAAGGAAATGGGCAGACATGTGGTGGGGTGGGCTGCACTGGGAGAGAAGGGTAAAGAGGATCTCTGGAGGGCTCCAATAGGGCACAGCCCTCACCTGGGAGGTTGCTTGCCTCCCGCGGCGAGCATGCTCCAGGGCCATCTCTGCAGCTTCCAGCTCAGTGCGGCTCAGTGAGGTCAGCGGGTCCCTCAGGTGTTCTAACAGCTCACTGACCAGAGCCTGGAGAGAGTCCCAAGATGCTGACACCACCCTCCCCCCAAGCAGGCTCTCTGTCCAGGTTTGGGTGGGTGATGGGCATGAGGTATGGGAAATTGGGAAGGAATAAGACATTATTATTGCTTCTAAAAACAGACCCTCTTGTGTACATAGCACTTAACAGTTTAAAAAGCATTTTCACATTCATTCTCTCCCTTGAGCCCCATTAGTCTTATAAAGTAGTCTGACCAGGGGTTATTCCTGTTGCGGAAACAGGAGTTCAGAAGGGTTAAGTGTTCTGCACAATGTCACGCAGCCAGCTAGAAGCAGAAGCCAGGAATGTCTCTTCTGCCCATTCTAAGCAGGCTAGATCCCCCGCCCTACTCAGCCTGTCGGTGATGAGAGGCAGGGAGAGGCTCTCCCTGTGGAGAGGCAGGGGTATCTAGGCTGAGACTAGCCTTGAGCAGGGCCGGCAGTTCTTCCTGGTAGTAGTGGTCAAGGTGGGCATTGGTGGCCACCAAGTTCAGCAGGTACTCATTGCGGGCTGCTCTCAGCTGCTGGGAGTACTGGGCTGATTGGGCAGACAGCTAGGAGAGGAACATAGGTGTCAGCTGGGAGCTCGAGACTCTCAGTGTTCTTCCAAGGCTAACCCAGATCCAGAAAGAATTCTCACATTATTGATATAACTAGCAAACTATACTAAAAATTTTACATACTCACAACTCCTGATCAAAGTCCACTAGTGGAAACTGCATACATTTAGAAGAAAATCCCAACTGCTCCTTATCATGGCCTACCTGGGCCAACATGAGCTGGCCCCAGCACCCTCTCTTTCCACAGTGCTCGTCCCGCTGCTCACAGTGCTCCAGCCACACTGGCCTTCTCTCAGTTCCTTGAGCCTACAAAGTTATTGTCACCTCAGAGCCTTTGCACTTATCACTACCTCTCCCTAGAATGTTCTTCCTCTACATCTTTGCACAGCTGGTTCCTTCTTGACACTCAGGCTTTCCCTCTAAATTACACTCCCCTGTTATGCTTTATCAAAGAACCTTTTCATTTATTCTGAGTCTTTGTGTATTTACTATCTGTCCCCCCTAACCAGGCTGTGAAGGCAGGAACTCTACAGGTAGTGTTCCCCACTGTATCCCTCATGTTTCGAACAATGCCTAGTACATAAAGGTCCTCAATAAGTGCATAAAAAAGGAACGAAAAACAAAGGTACTATGTCTATTTTATAGATGAAGAAAATGAGTCTCGGAGAGAACAAGTTTACCAAGGTCATGCACCAAGGAAGTAGGGTAGCCTGGATTCATCCCAGTCTCTCTGACTTATGCCCCTGAGTTCTAAACCACTAGACTAATCTCTCCACCTCTCCCGGTCCCCACTCATGCCCACATCCTCTGAACCTTGGTGCTGAGTTTCTGAAGACTGGTCCGAGTGTGAAAGAGGCCATGGTCACTTCGGTTAAGCCTGTGCAGGCAAAGGAAAGGAGTGGAGGTCAGACCCAGACATGGAGACTTGGCTCTACACCCTGTCCCCAGGCTTCCCAACTCCCCATCAGCCCACCTGGCCTGGACATCAGCCGCCTTCTCCTGGGCCAAGGCCCACACGCGTTCCCGCTGCCCATACAGCTTTCGGCTTCGGCTCAGCTCCCGGACAGACTGCAGCACCTCAGCCTGTGCCCTCTGGAGGTTCTCTGCTCCCTAGGGGCATGGACACAGGAAGTCCTGATCCAGACCACCTCCATCCCTGAGTCAGCTCTTCCTTCACCCCGTCCACTGAACCATACCTTCCGAAGCACCTGCTCCTTAGCACTCCGCCCCGTGCCCCCAGCCAGGTCACGGTATCGGTCAGATGCCTGGAGCCGGGCTTGGCCCCCAGCCATGGTGGCATCCAGCAGGCAGCGCCAGGCACCGAACACCATCCTGCCTCTCCCCAGAGAAAGACTGTGTTAAGGAGGGGAGTACTCCAAAGCTTCACGAGACGCCCCCCTTCCAGCACCACGGGAGACAGACAGCTTTCCCATCCCCCTCGTCTGGGAGCCCATCAATCGATCCGCCCATTATCTCAGCCACAAGGATCCCTCATGCCCTCCCCCACCATCCAGTGTCCTTGCTGGGTCAGCTGCTCTCCTCCTGCTGCATCAGCTCCACCTACAGCTCACGTGCCCTCCCTACAGGTTCCTGGGGTTGAATGCTTCATTCTTTCTTGACCCCCAGTTCCCCCCACCCCACCCCACCGTGGGACTCACCTGCTGTCCATCTCCCCACTCCGGTGTCCTTCCCTCTTCAAGAATGGCCCAGCCAGTTTCTGAAGTGCCTGGTGGGAAAATCATCACAGACCCGATTCCCTTTCAAAGACCCCACGTGTGAGAACATAGGACCAGAATATAATAATACCCCTCACTTTGCTAAGTGCTTTACATGCATTAACTTATTCCATCCTTGCAAGAACCCTGCGTGAAGGTACAATTATTATTATTCCCATTTTACAGAGAAAGAAATTGAGGCCCAGAGGTTAAGTAACTTGTCCAAGGTCACACAACTAAATAGTAGCACAGCAGAGACTTGACACACGTGTGCCTGATTCTAGCCATGTGCTCTTGACCAGCACAGAAGTATGTGCGGAGCCACACTGCTGGTGGTGTAAAGTAGGCCAGAACAAAAGGCAAGGTCCAGAGAAGAGAGTCCCATACCTGCCCATACTCCCGTTCAATGGCTGCCCTCTGCTTGCTGTAGGATCTGTGGAGATTGGGGGTGGGGGAGGGGGTGTTACTGTTTGGTCCATTTCTCCCACCCTCTATCCTGTCTTCAGCGTGGGCAGGAAGGAGTGGGGAGTCAGGCCTAGAGTGTTGACTACACTGACGCTGAAGAGAGAGTCCTTGAGATCACCTCGGGCAGCCGCAGCACAGGACAACCTCACCTCAGTGCTCAGAGACCCAGCAGGATCATCCCCACCCCTGGAGAACCATCTGTGGGCTTGGCGGTGAGGACGCATGGGGGCCTGGGTACAGTGTCCGCCAGCCTTCCAACAGGTCTGGAAGCGGAGGGGTGGGCTTCTGCCCAAAGCTTGATTGGGGGGGGCGGTGGCGGGGCGGTGTGGAGTGAAGGGCTTTGAGGGAGGGTCCCAGTGTGTTTATATGTGTTGGAGTGGGAGGAAGGATAATTCCTATCCGGTATGAGAGAGGCCTAGGGTGAAGGACTTGAATGGGCAGGTTGGAGAGCTCTTTACCCCCGCCCGCCCGGACAGCTGTAGTATGTTGGAGAAGGGGCGGAGCATGTGACAGAGAAAGTGGGGGATATGTGGAGGGGGTCAGGGGCTACCTGATATCCTCCAGTAGGTCTGCCTCTCTCTGCTGCCGGGTCTGAAGGATGCTCAGCTGCTCCAGGAAGCGAAGCTTCACCTCCTGGGCCGGCTTCACCTGTAGGGGTAAAAGGATGAAGACCCCGGGCGCGGGGACCTGAAAAACACTCGGCGCTGGGAGCGGTGAGGGGGCGGGGCCAAGGAGGAGCTGGGCTGTTTCCTCGGTTACTTCTGGGTTGGCCTTTGACCCCTTCCTACTCTTCGACCCCCCGGTCGGGTCTGGTGCCCCCTTGGTCCCCATCACTCCCCCAGCCCGCCGGGAGTCCCCATTTCCAGGCCAAGCTCACTTTTCGGGGCGGCGGCTGCATCTCCGCTCTGGCCCAGGCAGCTAGTCGACTCCGGAACTCAAGGAAGCCCCGCCCACATGTAAGCCCCGCCCCGGTCCAGCTCCGCCCTTGCCCCGCCCACGCCTGGTCAGTCTACTTGCTGCGCGGCAAAGCGCGAGGGGGCCGCAGAGAAACTAAACCTCTGTTACTGCTGTGAATAGCCCGGAAAGGGTCCTTGCCGCCCGGTGGACGCCCAGTCCGCCGGACAGTAGGGGGAAACCTTAGGTTTCTGTGTCAAGACGCCTGGGTTCTGTTTCTAGTAGGGAGCTGCTGACTCAGCCCATAATTATTTCTAATCATTCATTTACATATTCAGATCTCCAATCCTGACGCGACGGCTTGAAGGACGGCGAGGAACTCAATCTGTGACCAGAAAAACTGAATCACTGGATGCCTCATCGAAGATGCGTCTGATGAGGGAAACAGGGCTGGTCCTAGGCCTTTTCCCAATTCCCAATGAACTGGAAAAGCCGGCGTGTGAGCGAGGATGAGAAAGACGCCTGGAGCCAGGAAGCAACCCGTACCAGAGGAAAAGACAAGTACATCCTGGTCCAGTGGAGAAGAAACAACCAGCGTGCGTGAGCTGGGAGATGAGCGTGGGGACCTGTGGCCTAGTAAGCCTCTATCACTTTTAGGTTCTGCACCCTTAAGGCTCTGCACCCCAGGACATACCCTGCTCCACCCCAACCCCGCACTGCCTTCTGATGATCTGCACACCCTTTCCTCATCCTTTTCACCTTTCCGTGGCTCACACCTCCTCGCCACACCCCTGACTTGGAAAAAGCAGGTATCTGTGGCCCAAACTCCAGGTTCATATTTCCAACAGTTCACCTCCATGAAGATCACCTCACGAGATCTAAATAGGTACCTCGAACTTTTAAAACAGCTCCTTCCACCTGATCCTTCCCCATTCACCTCCCCCAGTTAACATACTAAATGGAACCATTCTCCATACAGTGAGGAAAGTCAGAAACCCAGAGTCTATGTGCCTTCCCTTCTACCCCCATATTCCACCCATCAGTTTAGTTCTTCACTCAGTTGTGTCTGATTCTTTGAGACCCCATGGACTGCAGCACACCAGGCTTCCCTGTCCATCACCAACTCCTGGAGTTTACTCAAACTCATGTCCATTGAGCCTGTGATGCCATCCAACTATCTCATCCTCTGTCGTCCCCTTCTCTTCCTACCTTCTATCTTTCCCAGCATCAAGGTCTTTTCCAATGAGTCAGTTCTTCACATCAGGTGGCCAAACTATTGGAGTTTCACCTTCAACATCAGTCCTTCCAATGAATATTCAGGATCGATTTCCTTTAGGGTGGACTGGTTGGATCTCCTTGCAGTCCAAGGGACTCTCAAGAGTCTTCTCCAATACCACAGTTCAAAAGCATCAATTCATCAGCGCTCAGCTTTCTTTATAGTCCCACTCGCACATCCATACGTGTCTGCTGGAAAAACCATAGCTTTGACTAGATGGACCTTTGCTGGCAAAGTAATGTCTCTGCTTTTTAATATGCTGTCTAGGTTGGCCATAGCTTTTCTTCCAAGGAGCAAGTGTCTTTTAATTTCATGGCTGTAGTCACCATCTGCAGTGATTTTGGAGCCCCTCAAAATAAAGTCTCTCACTGTTTCCATTGTTTCCCCATGTATTTGCCATGAAGTGATGGGACCAGATGCCATGTTCTTTTCTGAATGTTGAGTTTAAGCCAACTTTTTCATTCTCCTCTTTCACTTTCAACAAGTTCTTTAGATCTTCTTCATTTTCTGCCATAAGGGTGGTGTCATCGGCATATCTGAGGTTATTGATATTTCCATCCATCAGCAAGTCTTAAATGTTCTATCTCTCACTGATCAACTTCTCTCAAATTCCAGAACCAACAGCCTGGTCCAAGCCCCTATTATCAGTCTCCCATATGGTCTGGGATCTGGTCTCTTTGCTTTCAGTCTTCCCCCCAACAACCCATTGTTCAGAAAACAGCCTGAGTGATCAATCTTTTTTAAAAAAGGAAAGAAAATCTCATCCCTCTCTTCCCTAAAACTCTTTGATTGCTGCAGAAGAAAATCATGGCCTACAAGACTGTGCATGATCAGGTCCCTGCCCATCTTTCCCCTTCAGCCCATACTGTGCTGTCACTCCAGTCTCCTTGCTCTTCCCCCAATATGCCAAGTCCCTTCCCATTGCAGAGCTTTCATACCTACTGCCTTTCTATTCCTTCTGGAGTGATCCTTCTCCCAGCATTCCACATGCCTGGCTTCTTATTCTTACATTTCCGCTCTTCACAGAAACCCTTCCACCCAGCCCAGTGCCACCTCCTCAAGCACATCACTTTGGTTTATTCTTTCACAGTGCTGATTCTGTGTGTGCATTTTCTGTTTTCCCTCTATAGTGGAAGTTCCATTAAAGCAAGGACCGCATCTCTTTTGTTCACACTATATCCCCAATACTTGGCACCAATTAGGTGTTCAGCATATACATGTTGAATAACTGAATGAATGAATGGCAGCCTTTTTGTTTCAAGGTTTATTAACAGTGACCCATCCTTTTGGGCTTCTCTTTGCCCCAGCTCCCAACCCTAATCAACCTCCCACCCTAGGGCTTCACTGTAGTTTCTGAATGTTGAAGGTGGGGTAGGATAAACTTGGAGATCATTCAAATTTGTGCCTTCCAGGGACTTCCCTGGCAGTCCAGTGGTTAAGACTTCATGCTTCCACTGCAGGGGGATGCCAGTTTGATCCCTGGTCGGGGAACTAAGATCCCGCATACCGAGTTGTGTGACCAAAAAAAAAAAAAAGTTTGCCTTCCAAATCTTTTTACTGTTAATGCATAAAACAATTCTTTTCAAACCCCAAATCTCTCACAGAACCCCTATATATCAAATACATAAAGCAGGAATTGCCCTTCTTGAGGGAAACTATGTGAGGCTTACAGTTCTGAGAAACAGTTTGACATTCATTGTTCTGCTTATTTCAGTTACTTCATGGTACAGGTGAGTCAGCGGAAGCTGAGAGCGGCGCCATGACCTGCCTCTTTTCTGAGCCGGATGCTGTCTCGGGAGCTCTTGGCCCTGTGCTCCTTCCACAGCACCAGACTGGACTCTGTAGTCTTTCCAGCCAGGGCAGACATGCCCCAGCACTGTCTGCCACGGGGAGAGCTTGGGTCTTTGATTACCTACCCCTCAGACTGCTGTCCCAGAGTCATGTGAGGGGCTGGCTGGGGGGTAGACTTGAAGTGCAGGGAGTTTGGGTGGGGAAGCCAGGTGTCTGTGTCGGAAGGCCATTGGGGCTCGGGGGCTGGGGGCTGGAGGGTTGAGAAGGGCTGCCCAGGCCTGCGCTGGTCTCTCCCTTCCTCAGGATGAGGCTGCTCAGCTCCTGGAGTAGCTGCTCCTCCAGGGACCCATGTGTCTGGGGGCTGCTCTTGGAAGGGGGGCCCGGAGGGGGCTCAGGCGGCCTCTCCTCCCAGCCCTGGGGGCCTGCTTTGGACAGAAGATATTGATCAAAGGACCTCTGGCTGGGGAGGGGGGTCTCCGGCTTGGCTGTCCACTCCCGTGGGGTAGAGAAGGAGGTGGAGATATCCTCAGTCAGCTCGGGGAAGGCTCCAACTTCCTCATACACCGGCTCCTCATACACAGGCTCCTCCAGATCTTCCTGCTCCTCCACAGACCCCTGGGATGACTTCATTGGCTGGGTGAGAATGGGGTAACCAGAGGCAGGCACAGAGTTAGAGTTCCCAGATTATTAATCACTAATATTTATTGAGCTCTTCCTCTTGACCAGATGCTGCAAAAATACTTTTGCATTTATGATGTCAAAAACAGCCCTGTATGATGGATACACTTCAGGTGAGTGAGCTGAGGTACGGAGGAGTTAAGTAAGTTGCCCAGGACCACACAGTAAGTAAATGGTGGAGCTGAGGCTTGAACCCAGGTCTGTCTGACTCCAAAATGCATTTACTTAACCACTTCCTTCTACTTCTCAAATCCTGTGACGACTTCCCCCTTTCTTCACTGCATCCTACCATCCCTTGTTTTCCTCATTCCTTCAGGTCGCAACACTCTGTCCATCCGCACACACACTCACGGATGGCCTGCATCAGACAAATAGACAGCACATGGGCTCCAGCAGCACAGAGCACAGGGCTAACAGGCACAGAACTGGAGCAGGCACAGTACTCACAAAGAACATGGACAGGGTCCTCCGGTTGTGAAGTCGCCGCTGGGCACAGGTAGGGTGGGGAGGCAAGGAGGGAGAGACACAGAGACACAGTGAGGCCTGGCAGCAGGAACTGCAGGTGGAGAGTTGGGGCACAGAGAAGGCAGAGGGGGCACCAGGCTGGCAGACATGCCATTTCCTCCTGCAGTGTGGCCAGGACATGGGCAGGGACCCCGAGGCGTTGGGCAGGCTAGGGGAACCTCACCAGGGTCTGATTGGCAGACAGGAGAGTGGCCCCACTGTCATCCCCACGGATGGGCAGCAAAGGCATGGTGCCAAACTTCTGACGGGCGAGGTCAGAGGAGGAATGGCGTCGTAAGACCACTGGCTGCTGGTCATCGTGCTGGAGAGAGGGCGAGGGGAGGCACCGGTGGGCATGGGAGGTGCTGAGGGTAGAGCTGGGTCCACAGACCTGGCTCTCAGCTCCCTCCTTCCCCTTACCTGGGCTTTGAGGATGCTGGTGGTCCAGTCCCACATCTCGTCCTCGTCTGTGCAGGACAGGTAGCTGGGGGTGATCAGAGTGGGATCACCAGGAGGGAAGGGGTCACAACTAGAGGGGTGGAGGATAGGAAAGGCCGGAGGACAGGGAGCCTAGCTGGGAGGTACTCACAGGTGCATCTTCTCCAGGATCAATGTGAAGCCCCACCTGAGAAGCAAAGGAGACCAGTGATGGGTGATCAGAAAGGCCAGAGGGTTGGTGGCATGAAGGCTGTAGAAGGGTGGACTGGGGGAAAAAACTCACGGGGTGGGAGGCTTGAACTTTTTGCGGATTCCAAGGTAGACCTTGGCATCTTCCAAAGGCCACTCTCGTTCCGGTTTAGAGCTCTGACAACATGAAAGCCGGCAGTGAGGTTGAGAGGTGAGAGAGAAGGATCATAGTTAAGGAGGTCAAGAAACCATGGAAGCACTGGAGTTGTGTGAAGTCAAAGGGTCACAGAGGTCAAAAGGCCAGGCAAGCACTGAGACTGATGGAAAAATGGGCTGGGGAGTGACAGGATCGAGCAGTCAGGGCTCCTCACACATAGCCATCCAGCCTCCCTCCACACTCGCCCAGGGCCCACCTTCTTCTCCTTGAGCAGCAGCAGGCAGCGGCCACGCAGCAGAAAGAACCTCTCCTGGAAGCGGTTTCCCAGCAAGCGGGGTGGCTCCTCCCGACACCGCAGCAGCCCCACTCGTGGGCTCTCACGCCGGACACCTGGGCACAGAGGGGCAGGGCAGGGCTAGGTGGAGGGTCCCTGGGAGAGGCCGGAGGTGGGGGGGCTGGTGCTGGGCTGAAGGAGGCTCACCTGTGAAGAGGCAGCCAGCATGGGCCAGAGAAACTTTTCTCAGGAGCAGGGAGGCTGAGCAGGGCTCTGGGAGCTGGCACCATTGGAGGGCCTGCTCAAGGACCCTTTCCTTGGGGTGCAGCGGCCGCTCTAGGGGGCAAGGTGAGGGTAGGTGTCAACCAGATATCCATCCACAGCCTGGCGCCCCCTCCTCCTTGCTCACCAGTCACTCATTGATTTGTCCAGCCAGCCACAGAAGTAAATTAGCACTGACTGTGCCAGGCACGGGGCTGCCCTGGGGATACAGTAGGGAGCTTAAAACACCCGGCCTGCCTTCACAAAGCCCACAGCCTGGCAAGGCAGCAGAGAGTAACAGGTAAGTAAACGAGGTAAAGTAAAGACAAACCATTATTCTGAAGGAAACAATAAAAACCTGAGAGAGAGAAACAGGGCAGCTACTGAGATAGGGTGACCAGGCAAAGCCTTTCAGAGGAAGCATTTGAAGATGAGACACAGAGCCTGGAGGATTGGGAAGAACAAGCCATGCGGAGATGGAGGAAGAAGACTCCAGGGACGACTAAATGCAGCACCAAAGGCCCTGAGTTAGGAAAGATGTGCTTGAGGAACTTAACAGCCAGCGTGGCTGAAGCAAGGAAAACACGTCATTTGAGGTGAAATCTGAAAAATAAGTGAGTGCCAGATATTCAGAGTCTTGTGGGCTAGAATAAAGGGTTTGAATTTTAAGTGAAATGGGAAGCCATTGGAAGGTTTTAACCACGGGAATGGCATGATGTGATTTATGCTTGAACATGCTCATTGACTGCTGTGTAGAAAATGGATTGTTGGAAGGCAAGAAGGGACACTGGCCAGCTGTGCCCTTTATGGAGCTCTACATTTTCGTGGTCAGTGTTGGGTTACAGAAAGATCATGGTGACTTCAACTAAAGTGGTAGCAATGGAGATGTAGAAGTGATATATTTAGAAAGATACATTTAGACTCAGGAGGACTAGTTAGCCAGTAGGTATGAAGATTAAGGAACAGAAGGAGTCCCAGAGGACTCCCAAGTCTCTGGCCTTGATAACTGGTGAATGCTGATTCAATGACTGAGTCAGGAAAACTAGGAAATGGTTTGGGCTTTGTGTCAGGGGAGGGGGTTGGGAATTGAGTTTGGTCTTAGAATTTTTTATTCACTCTTTTTTTTTGGTTGTACATGTGGCATGTGGGACCACTGGTTCCCCAACCAGAGATCAAACCTCCATCCCTCTAGTGGAAGTGTGGAGTCTTATCCACTGGACTGCCAGGAAGTACTGGTCTTAGGTGTTTAAAATATGAGATGTTAGAAGATGTACAAGTGGAGGTGTCAAGCAGGCAGCTGGCTATGTGAGTCTGGAGCTCAGAGGAGGGGTCTGGACCACACATACACATTTGGGGCCAGCTTATTAGTGGCATTTAGAGCCGCAGAAATGGATGAGCTCACCCAAGGAAACACACAGAGAAAGGAAGAGGGTCGAGGATTGAGCCCCAAGTCCCTCCAGCATTTGAAGCCTGGGCAAAGTAGAAAGAGACGCCACCTTTGAGGTGAAAAACCAAGGGTCTTTGGGGCCCACGAAAGACAAGAGAACAGGGAGTATTGAGAAAGGGTGAGTAGGGACTTCTCTGGTGGTCCAGTGGCTGAGACTCCGCACTTCCGATGCAGGGGGTCCGGGTTCTATCCCTGGTCAGGGAATAGATCCCGCATGCCACAACTAAAAATCCCACTTGATGCAACTAAGACATGGCACAGCCAAACAAATAAATAAATACAAAAAGCAAAAAAAAAAAGAAAGACCGAGAGGACAGCTGCACATCTGGTAACCCAGAAGTCTTGGTGACTTTCACCCCAAACGCACGTGCACATGCGCTGTCATACGCACCAAGCTCCCCGTGCTCTCGAATCTCAAATGTCACCCACAAGTCCGTCCCAGCTGCTGTCCCCCGAATCTCCAATACTTGGTTGGTCAGCTCCTCAGCAGTCAGTGTTGGGGACACCTGGGGTCAGGGCACAAGCAGAGGACCCATGCAGGTCAGGCCACTGCCCCTGCTCCCCGCCACCCTCTCATCTCCTCTCCTGTCCCCTCAGGACTCACCTTCAGGGTGACACAGTTGTCTGGGAGCTGCTGCTCTATGAAGACCTCCATGATGAGGTCTCCAGCCTGGGACAGCTGAGGGGAGGAGTAAAGAAATGAGGAGGACACAGACAGTACAAAGAATCAAGGTCAGAGGACCCCTTAGGTTGTCTCATGAGTGCTTCCCCCAAAGAGGCCTCCTCTGAACCCTCATCCCAAACGTCCCTCAGGCCCTTTAAAGAGAAGACACTCCAGGCATGGTGGCACTGTGTACAGTAGCGCTTGAGAAGACAGGTTGGAGTCTGGGTTCCAACTGAATAAGTGACCCTTCAAACCTCAGTTCCTTTGAAAAAATGGGACCACCTACCTCCTAGAGTTGTGTGGCACTAAAGTGAGATTACAGGTGCTTGGAATATAATTTGTCCCCAGATGTTAGCTACAGCATTTATTCTTCTTCTCACCTCTTTGTCTAACTTAGCTAACCCTTCTTTGGATCTCCACACCTGAAACTGAAGTGTTCCTGCCACCCTTTTGTAATGAAGAACCCTCAGGGTAGAATAAATGGAACATATCCTAAACCAACGGCCCCTCCCCAAGGTGCTCCTCTCCTTGGGTTTCCTATGGCCCAGAAGCTGAAGGTCACCTTCCTATCTCGATGTCCCCTCCTGGCCCACTCAGGAGTCTAGGCTCAGGACAAGTTACCTGCACATCCTTCCAGGTGGTGATAAGACTGACCTCCAAGTCAATCTGGGCTACCTGGTCAGGGTCGATCTATGGAAGAGCCAAAACAGTATGTGTGTGTATCTGTGCCTGTGTGTGTGCGCGTTAGCGGGAGGCTGCCGGGGAAAGGGTTAAGCCCGGAGATATGTGCAAGACCAGAGCCCCTGGAGGAGAGGGGGAGAGGCCAGAAGAGCTGAGAGCTAAGGGGCAAGGATGTTAGGAGTGCGGTTACAGGAGACGGGGCCCAGGGACCTGGGACAGAGTTCCTGGTGCAGTGGGCCTTTAGAGGGCGAGGTTAGGGGTTTGTTGGGATGAGCAGGATCCAGCGTCCAAGGAGAGGGGCCGTGGGTCAGGGGTCGGGAAAGCTTACATCGAAGACAGAGATGTAGCCGTCAATGAGCTCCTGCAGCACTCGCACCTCGTGCTCCCCCCGCCCATCTGTCTGGAACACGCTGGGCGCGAACAGCAGTGCCAGGTTTCGCGTGCACATCTGGTTCAGAGAAGCACACTTCTGCACCCTGTGGAGGGGTGTGCGCGTCACGGGCAGTTACAGCAGTCATTCGGCAAAGACTTACTGAGTGCCTGCTATATGCCTGGGCTAAGCACTTGGGCTATAGCAGTGAGTTAGACACAACCCTGCCCTCAAGGAGCTCCCAGTCTAGGGGAGAACCAGACATATATAGGGGTCAGCAAACTTTTTATGTAAGTTTATAGATAGTAATTATTTTAGGGTTTCATGCTGTACCATCAGTCACAACCCCTCAACTCTGCTCTGGTCATGTGAAAGGAACCATGGGATATATATAGAAGAATGGGTATGACTTTACATTTTATGTACAAAACTTTATTTACAAAAATAAGCAATGAGCTGGATTTGGCCCAGAGGCCATAATTGTCCAGTCTGTAATCAGTACCATACAACAGGCTCATCCTAGAATCATTTAAAAAAATCTGTCTCTCCCAATAGACTGGTAAAGGTAGACCTGCATCTTATTCCTCTTTGTGTCTCCAACATCTAATCCTTTGCTGACATAGAATGTTAAATAAAACAAAATAATGTTGATTGTTCACCACTTCTGAATGCTTACCACATATATGCCAGGTGCTGTAGTAAGAAGTTTATGATGAGTATGTCATTTAAATCTCATATAACCTATGAGGTGGATGGTGGTGGTGATGATTTAGTGGCTGAGTCATGTCCGACTCTTTGCGACCCCCTGGACTGTAGCCCACCAGGCTCCTCTGTCCATGGGATTTCCAGGCAAGAACACTGGAGTGTGCTGCCCTGCCCTACTACAGGGAATCTTCCCAGACCAGGGATTGAACCCTGGTCTCCTGCATTGGCAGGAGGATTCTTTACCACTGAGCCATCAGGGAAGCCCATGAGGTGGATGCTGTACCTTATACCATCTTCCTGTTACAAATGAGGAAACTGAGGCTCAAAGAAAACAGATAATTTATCCAAAGTCATGTGCTAGAACAGTGGAGTCAGATTGAGGCCTAAGTCTGTCTGACCCCAAAGTCCATCCTGTGAACCTTTATGCTGTTACACCTTCACTGAACAATTGTCTATGGGATGGATATGTGAATCTAAGTGAGGGATTGGACAGAGGTGACGAAGGGTCGGGGGGGAGCCTGCAGGGGTCTGGCTGTACTGACCGATAGAGATGCCCAATGAGGGTGGCCAGTGTGCGGCGGTTGACCCGTGGCAGGCAGCCAATCACTTCTTTGTATTTCTCTAGGCGCTGGTTCTTCTGGGGCAGCTCTGGGGACGTGATGGGCAAGGGGTGGAGAGGGTCAGGGAAAGAAGATCAGAGGGATTTTTAGAGAAACAAACCCAGGATGGATGTGTGTCTGCCCCTTCCCACCTTTCCCTGGCTGAGTCCCTGGGCGATCGGCCAACTGTGCCAGGAGTGTTGGGGCGGGAGCTGCCCGATCCCACAAGGGAGCCTCAGTGATTCTGGGAGAGTCTCAGTTGCCCGTGAGGCTCTTAGGAGTACCTACCAGCAGCCTCCCTCCAGCGAGGCAGCAACCGTGCAGAGGTCACAGGATCATCAAGCTCTCGAAAGAAGCGTTTGAGTGTGTCGGTGACATCTTCCACAAAGTGCTCCCCTGGTCGGAGCTTCACAGACCGGGCATCCCGCCGGAACTCAGCCAGCAGCTTCAGGCTGCGGGCACGGGCACCCCCTTTCCGGTATATGCCCTCCAGCCGGAGCCCTGTGAACAGCCAGCATCTCAGCTCACCACTGCCCAAGACCGGCTATCACTCACCCAGTGCCCTATCTGTGACCCACCCCCTGCCTTCCTGTAAGTGGCTATTGGGGGTAGGAGGGTCAGACAGAAATCAGCCTCTCTGGTCTTGCTTCTCAGGTCCCTACTCCAGCCCTCACCTTCAGAAGGCCCATCCCTAACCATGCCATCACACTGCAGCTCCCTTCTGTCCTCACCACTTTGATCTTTAAATAGCACTCTATGAAATCATATCACACTCAGGACATGTTATTCACAGGTTTTGAATTTATGAATTCATCTACCTGCTAAAATGTATTAGGAACCCCCAAATCTACCTGTGGCACTCTGCAGTCACCTGTGAACATGCGCAAATGGAGAAAATTTTCAGTTGCCTGATGAACATTTTCCCAGCTAAGGCCTCAAGCGGTAAACAAGTGCCATACTAATGGTATATTTAGAGCCACATATTTTTGCATTCTTGTACTTCTTTTGGGGGGGGAATTTCACTGTTTAAAATGGCCCCCAATGTAGGGCTGAAGTGCTGTCTAGTGTTCTAAGTACCAGAAGGCCTTGTGGAGAAAACACGTGTGTCAGATAAGCTTTGTTCAGGCATGAGTTATAGTATTGCTGGCAGCAAGTTCAAAGTTAATGAATCAGCTGTATAGTAAATAAAGTGTCTTTAAAGCAGACTCATGGATACAGAAAACAAACTAGTGGTGATCAGTATGAAGAGGGAATGGGGAGGAGCAGTATACTATTAGGTATAAAATAAACTGTAAGAATATATTGTATAACAGGGAAAATGGCAAATATTTTAGAATAACTATAAATGGAGTACAATCTTCAAAAATAGTGAATCAGTATGTTGTACCCCTATAATTTATCAAATATTTTAACATCAACCATGCTTCAATAAAAAAATAATAAAATAAAAAAATTTTAAAGATGAAAGCTCGGACCTACACTCAGTATCTTATAATAACCTATAATGGAAAAGAATCTGAAAAAGAATATAGGTATTATATATTTATACACACACACACACACACACACACACATATAACTGAATTACTTTATCATACACCTAAAACTAACACAACATTGTGAATTAATTATAATTCAATTTAAAAAGAGAGGAAAAGAAGATGAAAACTGAAAAAAATTGTAAGTGTCTTTAAACAGAAGCACACATAAAACAAAGTTACATGATGAAAATATGACCAGAATTTCCCAGGAACTTAACCCTATATTTCCACTGGGGCGACAGTTCAGCATTCATTGATCCAGTGATTCAGTGACTTTATAACTGCCATGAATCATGAGAACTGAGTGTATTTGTGTTCTTAATTATTACCCATCGTTCCCACCAGTCTCTGAGCTTCACGGAACCTTCCTCATTCACTGCCCCATCTGCCGTGGCTGGCACAGGGGAGCAGCTCGATAAGTATGTGTTGAATGAAGAGTGGCAGTGCAAGATCTGTGGAGCAGCAGGGAAGAACACCCACACTTTCTCCAGGGCTTTTCACTGGGCCTCTGACTTCAATCCTCCTAGGAACACGTGTGAGGCTGAGAAGTGGAAGGGGTCTAGTAAGTTTGGGGAGTCAGTACATGAGGCTACTGCAGAGGTGTGGAGGATGTCTTTAACCACTGACTACCCACTGTCTGTGTAGTAAGCACAACTATTTGTAGGCACATGGATGTGCCTTTTCCCCCTTTACTGTCCTCCTTAGTTTTCTGAGAATTTTCTTCTCAAGAGTCCAGCCTTCTAAAGAGGGTTTGCTGGGGGAAAAGAATCAATTCGATCCTTACTCGGTAAAAAGAAAAAAGCAGAGGCCAAAAACTCACAAAGAATTCTGGGAACTCCTTGCATAGTTCATCCTTTATGGCTGGAAAACCCTCCCACACAGAATAATTCTACTCAGACCCTCAAAGATTTTGCTGCTCAGCTTGGCTCTTGCCTAATAGCTGCGCTCTCTCTGTTCTCCAGAGCTCTGCATCTCCAGTCACATCTGAGGGCCCCCCACCTTCCATGCCCACGCCCCAATAAGAGTGGCTATGGAACACTTCAGTTCAGTTCATTTCAGTCGCTCAGTCGTGTGTGGCTCTGCGACCCCATGGACTGCAGCACGAAAGGCCTCCCTGTCCATCACCAACTCCCGGAGTTTACTCAAACTCATGTCCCTTGAGTCGGTAATGCCATCCAACAATCTCATCCTCTGTCATCCCCTTCTCCTCCCACCTTCAATCTTTCCCAGCATCAGGGTCTTTTCCAAGGAGTCAGTTCTTCACATCAGGTGGCCAAATATTGGAGCTTCAGCTTCAGCATAAGTCCTT